TATGCACGACAGATAAGCTCGTTTTCGCCCGAAACGAGGAAGGAGGTTCCGTGGACTGCGTCAAACTAAAGGTCGTATCAAAGTCAAACGGCTGCAGTACAACTCGATTTATCCGTCCTTTTCCGGTGAGATCGACCTACGAATCCCTTCGTTATGCACATTCATACGAAATGAAAATCCCACCCAGGAATATTGTATCAGCAGATTCATAGAAGCCCAGTTTCTCTTCGTTTTGAGACTACCAGTAGATCACTAATATGAGATGTACTCACCCTATATCGTTTAAGGTGATGAAGTATTGGTAGAAGAGGAGAACAAATTTTGGGAAAGCAAGGCTATATGAAATTTGATGGAAATATCGGCTCTACTCACATGATTGTGGGAAAATTCTTCTACCAGTCCTTCATCACCCAAAACTAAATAGGGTGAATACATCTCATATTATAAGATTTCAATTATTTTTTCAATTAAGTATTGTTTTCGTGACTACCAGTAAATCAGTAATATGAAATGTATTCACTGAAATATTGTGAATGAAAGTTTGTGAATCGAAAGTCGCACAAAAAAAGCCTGACTTGCTTTGCAAATCACATTTGTCCTGTGACCCACAAGATCCTTTGGCCCAGTCGCTAGTCCCATTGAAGGAGGCTTACTCGAAACCCGATGCCGGTCTATTTGCATGAATGTGGGCAAATTGGTGTACCGGTCTTTCGTCACCTTGTGCCGCCCGTTTGCATGTGTGCGAGCATCAAGAGCGAGTTAGTCGTCATGGCGACGAGGCTATAGTCGACTCTTGAGGGCAGCCGTGAGTCGGTGCCTCGGCCAGACTGCAAAGGGCAAGCCGGCGGAGTGGGCTTTCTCCCCTGGCTCGATCGGTGCCCCGGGGACAACTGGACCGCCTTGTTGGCCGGTTCGACTTGAGGCCTAGTTGCCAGGGTGACACAATGACGCGATGACTCGGTGGCGGGTCTTTCGGGTAGTGTGCATCAGCTTGGATTGCGTAAACTGGCGACCGGCCCAACATGGCAGGCGGTGGCGGGGTGTTGAATCTGTCCGTCTACGAGGCGGCAAAGCGGTTTGTCTACGAGACCGGAGCACCGAGGCAACGCAAGCTCGGTCGGACGTGAAGGCAGTAAAAGGGTCGGACGGTGCTTGATGTTGCAGGTTTGTTGACCTGAAACTGGTGAGATCGGTAAACAACCCGATCCGGCAACTGTTGCGTGGACTTTATTGCGGAAGTCGTATAAATAGCCGATCGTCTGCCAGCCAGACCAGCATTTTCCGGCAACTCGGTCAACATGCTCCGGTACTCGTCGAACCTCCTTTTCGCCAGCCTCGTCTGCCTCGTCTGGCTCGTCTGCTTCGCCTCGGCCGCTCCCGCCGAAGGTCTCGAAAAAGAGACGCAGACCAAATTATCCACCAACTGGGCCGTCAACGGGTTTCCTGGCCCTTGGAGCCACCTCAGCCCATGGCCGGCACCTGCTTTTCCCGCCGCCGATTGGTCAGCCGCTTCAGTTATGCCCAACTACTTCGTCGACCAACAGGCCATTCGCTGGGGCACCGGCCGGTACCACGGACTGCCCTACGGCTACGGGCCGGTCATGCTGAGGCATTGAGCAGCACGCTGGCGCCAATCGTCGCAGACACACAACCATACAGACACACATCATTATACACTAACACAAACGCACAAAGACACCATTTCTCGACAAGAAGAAACCGACCAGAAGACAATCTCTTCCAAGTGCCTAGACAGACAGAAATTAAGACAGGCGCTCATTCACCAAACTGGATTTGCCTTCGGCATCATCATCATCATCATCATCATTGTTGCATACGTTAATAAATATTTTTATTAAAGACACCCCTTTTCCAACCAACTTTCACTCGGGTTCGTAAGTATGCCGGTCTTGCTTGTCCTTCCAACTTCCAACTGGGGAATGTGCCTTGACTGCATTGGACCTCAAAGAGACAAGTGACGAATGGTAGCTTGGCGCTGAGGACGAAACATTTGGGCATGTAGCAAGTCCACAGTCGGAGGCTGAAAATAAAAATAACGGCTCGAGCAGAGGACTTCAGACAAAGTGCGTCCAACTAAGTTAAATTGAAAACACGACCATGTTGCAAAGACGAGATCAGATCACTTCTACATATCAAAAGGAGGCCGCGAATATGACGAACGCCACAGCAACTTGGTCTTCATATCTTCCTCTTGGTTTGATATTCATTTGGTCTTTCCTAAATGATTCTTTCCAGCCTATCGATGTACTACGAGGAAAAAGACACAAAAATCCACAGTCATAGCTCTGAGGCAATCATTCTTTAGGGTCTGAAAGGGCCAATTTGAGGGCCCATTCCATATGGCTTTTAAATAAAATAAAGGTCATTGAAACCTCAGTCAATTAAGAAATTCCTCGAAACTCAGAGAAATTACATGTTCTTTCAATAATTCCAAAAGAAGTTCGGCATTGAAGAAGTCGCAAGAGGTGATTTTACGATAAATTTATCGTTAATAATCCCTGACTGTGTTAAATCAGGCAGCCATTATAAATAACAAAATTCCGCATGATTAGATGATGGAAAGAAGGATATAAGAGGATATCGAAAAATATAATAGAGGAAAAAAAATAGCAGAGAATTACAGATGAGATGAGATGAGATGAGATGAGATGAGATGAGATGAGATGAGATGAGATGAGATGAGATGAG